ACTCAAACCTGACCCAGGCACAGCTGACCACAAAATACTGAGGTTATCTTTAGTAATAATTCTAATCCACAAGGACAAAAGGATAATTTACCACAAAACACATTTGAGCAAAGAAAAGGCCATTCTGTTACTGTCATATAAATGTGCATTAAAATAACCACAAACAGCCCCGTGTAATCCCAGAAGTAAGGGGGGCTGAGGCAGGAGAATCACCCAGAGTTCTAGACTTATCTGGGTTAGCGAGTTCAAGGCCAGCTTTAGTTATGTACATAGCAAGACCCTGACTCAAACAAATAGATAAAATAAGTATATAGCGAGACCCTGACTCAAACAAATAAATAAAATAATCCAGACTGTACATCTTTGTAAGCAGCCACTTACAGAGGAAATAAGACCAAATGCTGACTTAAATGTAAATTAACCCACATGAGTTAAGTCCCTTTGCCTTTCTCCTCTACCTGGCTGACGTGACACACACTTATCAGGCAGCGTCATACACTACCAAGTTTCTGGGTCTGGAAAAGTAGGTCAATAATTTGGTAACATTACATGCAGAACATGTAAAATACACCGGAAGTCCAAAGCAACCACACCGTGAGATAAAGCATAGCGTCATGTGGTTAACATACTTTTGCCTAAGGACCTAAATTCAAATCGTATCTTGAGCAAATCCCGTGTCCAGGCTGGCCTCGAACATGCTATGCTATTCACCTGCCTCTGCGCATAGCAGCTGGGACCACAGGCCTGGATACCACGCCCCGCCTGACAATCTTTTAACACGCAAAGATCCTAACCTAGTTGGGGGCCCTATCCATTTCTAAGAATCTAGTAAGTCGCTTCAAATCACGAGAAAGGGGTCCCAACCTCGGCATCAAACGAAACACCCCCAGGCGCTGGGTTAGCTAGAGGCGGAAGGTCTCGGTGGGGTAGGCCGCGGCCGTTCGGCTGGGCAGCGAGCCCCGCTCACTAGGCGACAACCGCCTCCCGGGAGCGCAAGGCGAAACAAAGATCCACAGGCAGGCACAACTGAGCGCCCGCCAACCGCCGCGCCGGAACCGACACGCAGCTCTGTAAAGGCGCTTCCCCGAGAAGCACACGAGAGCGCTTCGCTAGAGCGGGATCGCGTCCCGCCTGCCCGGGAGCAGAGTTCGCAGGGCCGGGCAGGGTGCGCCCTGCGCAGGCCCCACGGCTGGGCAGAGCCCCGCTCACTAGGCGACAACCGCCTCCCGGGAGCGCAAGGCGAAACAAAGATCCACAGGCAGGCACAACTGAGCGCCCGCCAACCGCCGCGCCGGAACCGACACGCAGCTCTGTAAAGGCGCTTCCCCCCGAAGCACACGAGAGCGCTTCG